CGGACACAACAGGTAAACAAACCGGCCCAGCCCGCCGGCGGCTTACCCTGGCGGGCCGTGTGCCAAAGGTTGCCAATCCCTGCTCTAAGTAGTCTTGGTGCCACTAGATGGGACAGAACACCACACCGAGGAGGTGTGTGGGTTACATTAGCACCCACAATATCCAAACAAATAGCAGGACAAAGTCCTTGCTTAGAGGTCACAATCTAACAAGACAAGATATAACAAAATCCAGTGGTTAGAAGTTGAGCCTAGATGAACCTTGGCTAGAAATAAAGCATGCTTATTTTACCAGGAGGGTACATTAAGAATTGTGACAATTTACCTATGGATATGGTGGATTACCCATCACTTGAAATCTTTAAATTTAGGTTGGATGTCTTTTCTAAAAAAATATGTTCTAGCTCAACCAAAAGTTATGAGCTGAATTACTGGGAGAAACTCTCCGGCCTGTGTTATGCAAAGATTATCAGCCTAGATTATTCCGGCCTTAAGGGTCTAAGAATCTAAAAGAAAAGTAATAGACAAGGGCTGAGGGAGGATAACAAAACAAGTATCATAGAAGGTTAATGTCCTTCCCCTTTCACAATTTGTGTTCATGTTTGAAAATATATTATATTTTATTCTCCAAAAAACCTGCTAGTTTTTAATAGATAATATTCAAAGACCATGCAGCAGATATTAGGATTCTAAATCCAAATCCATTCAAAGCCCACCACTGTTGGCACCCATCGTAAGGTAGGTACATTTTTATAAAAAGCGGTATTGGCAAATCAGAAACACACAAATATTGTAGGGTATGATTTTATATCAAACATAGAATATCCTCCTCTACGTTTTCCTTCCGTTAACACAGGCATGCAGAGCAGGAGGATAATACATTCAGATCAAACTAGAAGCTGCAATCCATGTGTGACTTAATATTCTGCTGACCAACAGGTGGCACTAAAGAGACACAATCTGCCTGTAACTAATTAAGAGGTGATTTTTTTTTCTTTTTCATCTTCAGTTCAGATCTGCACAAATGTTGCTGTGCTGAGAACATGACAATAAACAAAACCCAGTTCAAGTTGCTCTGCACGCTCTGTACTGCTTGGGCATATGCTCCATCTCACTTAGGCTTTTATTAAAGCACTGAAGGTTCCACATGGAATGGGAAATGTTTCACAGTAATGAAGACTTTTGAAAGTTGCCTTTTCACTTTCCGATCCATATTTTACCTGCCCTCCTGACTGAGAATGTTGTAAAAATCTAAAGTCAGAGATGGATCAGTAGCAATAGGCATACGACTAGACAATCAACAGATGAGTGGGTTTGAAAAATTGGGGGAGGGAGGGAATCTGCTTTAAAATTTCCTGGGAGTTTGTTTCCAATCTTCATCAAAAATTCAAATATTTTGAAATTCTAATAATAGGATCTGATCTAAACCATTGATAACTCCATACACATGGTGGCTGAATTCCTCCTCCACTTGCGCTTGTGGCGGGAATCCAAAGTAGGTGCAAATGAGGTGGGGGAACATACTGTCTGGGCAGTAATGACTCTATAACCTGCTGCTACTTTCCACCGGTGACGTGGAAGGCCATCAATGGGTACAAGCTCAGCGCTTTCCACATGGAAAGGGGGCATGGCCTAGAGGGATTGTGTCTAACCTCCATGGTATCATGCCCCCAGGAAGCAGTAGAGAATATGCAGCATAATATAATGCTGATCCCCGTTCACTGGAATAAACTCATGCTGTTTCCCCCTCCTCTCACTGAAACCACCTCTGGTGGGAGTTTGGGGGAGTCAGGCTACTGAGGTAGGACAGTCATTGCATCTTGTTTGATCTTCAGGGGGATAATGCTCCTCCATCTAATGGAATAATCCAACGGAAACTCCTCAGACTAGAATGCCCAAGATTTGACAAAGAGGATAATGTGGTCCTAGAAAGCAAAAAGTCTGCAGCCCAACTGGGGGGGCTCTGAGAAACCTGTGCAGTTTAGCATCAGCTCATCCCACCAGCCAATGACCGCACCCTGCTGGGTAGCTCATTCAGCCAGCTGACTCCTTCCTAGCAGCAGCCGGTAAAGTTTTATGGTTCTCGCCAGTTTTTGCTTAGAGTCTCCACAATCTGCATCTCCCTTGATTTCTATTCTCCCTTGCTGCCTGCTCTGTTTGATGAGGCAGGTAGAGGAGGCAGAGTGACTGGGACAAGGAGAGTGCTGGGCACAGACACCAGATCACTGAGAAGCAGAACAGGGATTTTTTTTTTATTTTTTTTTTTTGGTCATTCTAAATGAGCATAGAGAGAGAGAGTCGGTCGATCTGTCTCTTTCTCTCTCTGCGTGCGCGTGCGTGTGCATATATGTGTGTGGAGAAAGAGAGAAGAGGGTCCCCTAAGTGCCCACTTGTACTACAGAAGTCCTGCACTGGCTCTGATACAGATGGGCTGAATCTGCCATAAGTTTCTACCACAGATGTTGCTTACCAGAGCCAGTTCTGAGCCAGCTGTTGTGCATGGCTGGAAATGGAGGATGATTCAGGCTCAAAAAAATTACAGTAGGGCAGAATTATTTACAAATGGTAACAATCCTTCTTGCTTTTGGAAAAACTCTGATGTTTTGTTCAAACACAAGGAATTGTCTCAGGGATCTATTTAGAAAAGAACGGATGACAACCTGGATTGCAAACACTGATGAATATGAACTGAAGTTGGATATCCTAGAATTATAGACAGAAAAGGCCTAGGTCATCCAGGCCCTGATCCAGCAGGGCAGGGGCAGGGGCAGGGGTTCTACTCCTGGTAATTCCCGATCCCTAAGCCTAAGGGAGGGATGAAATCTATCCTTAACCTCCACAATCTCAACATATACATCAGATGCATTAATGACTGAGACTGAGGGCAAAGGCTGATTTTTCTTTTCTTATTTATTTTTAATTTCATATCTTCAAGCTGTTTAAATTTTGCAATCTAACAATAAAAATGTAATGGGAAGTTCCTGGAATATATAGGGGACAGTAGGAAACCCTGTGAACACTAGGTGGCACTGTCAGGAAGGTTAGCAGAGCTTATGTAACTAAATGAAAACCAGATTTATGGATGCCACTCACACGACATGACTTTTCCCTTCCTTCCTCCCTCCCCATTTCGCTGCTCCTCGTTCAATGTAAAACATGCCTATTTCCCAAGCACATTCTCCTCCGTCCAAAGGGATTGATCCATAAATGTGAGATGAGCAGCGCTAGTTTGTACAGATACTGTTCAAAGTACTTAATGGTTTATATCAGGTTGGCACATCAGAGTGATAATTGCTAGGCTGAATATTCTGAAAGTTGTAAACTCTTACGTTAAAAAAATGGACCTAGCAGTGACCTTGTTTCCATGTAGTGGATTGAAGCATCAGAAACCATGAACGACGCTTCAGGTTTACAGATTTCCCCTCCTCCTCTTACGCAGGGCTGTGTGTAGTGCTTCTTGGATCATTTCAAAAGGCCATATGTTGCCCTCAAACCATACTTGGCTGTCCCCCGGATGTCAAGGGGAGCGGCGCATGTGCAGCACGGGTGGTGTGTTCCCTAAAGCATTTCAGCAACAAGAAAGAAAAGAGAGTCACATCAGGCCGCTCCGAGCCTTTTCTGTTTCTGATGTCACTGTCCTTCCTAGAACTGTACGGGGGGAAAAAAATCACAACGATAGCAAAACAGCTGAATCCCCTCCCGCCACCCATGCTGTCACCAGTTACCCTGGAAAGATGAAATAATTGCCTCAAATGTTTCATGGAGTCCACGAGCAAATCAAAGGGGCCTTTAATGTGACATTCGCTTTTTTTTATTTTTTTGGTCAGTTCTGCCTATTGCACACTAATAAAATCATAGGGCTGGCTCCTCAGCTGTGCCAAGCTCATGCTCAGCGACTAAGTAGGCAAAGGTCGTTCTTGCCCACCATGTAGCGGTGTGAGGAGATCAGTGTAAGAACACGGCTGGCTGGCAGGAGCCAGGGTAAGAACTGGATCTGTGACCAGCATTTTCCCCACAACACACTCATCTTAACTATTGGAGGGGTGGGTGGAGACCTTTCACCTCCTCTTCTCCGGGCTATCTCAGAGCATGGAATCATCCTTCTCCCAGCTGACCGCTTTCGCTGTTAACAAGGCCTGTATTTGTGACCCCTTTATTTAGCCCTGAGGCCACATGGGAGTAATAAACTTCCCCCACAAAGGGATGTAGCAGCATACAGCCTCTGCATTCCCAGCTGCTCCAGGAGGTCCTCTCGCTGAGACACAATGCCTCTCCTTTCTGCCTCCAGTGCTCTAAACACCTTATTGAAGGCTGTGCCTTCAAGGTATAACGGAGCCCTTAATAACTGACTAACTTCCCTGTGAGTTCGGCATACCAAAGGAGAGCAGGCTCAGGCTTTAAAGGCCTGCTAGCATTTAATTAGGGTTAGGATTTAGGGGTTAAGGTAAATGGACAGTGCCTACATTGGAAACGGCATGAGCCCTGTTCCCTGAAGACTAGTGCAGTGATGAACTTGTGTTCCCCTGTGTTGTGTGAGGAAACAGTCTTGTAACATGCTCCACTGAGCTGCTGCTCCCTCCAGCCAGGTCGTTGAAATCCCCCATTAGTGCTCATTTTCTCAGGAACTGTTTTGATTTTTCTTATTGTCGTCATCATCATTCTTTCACCATGGTGCTCTTTTGATCAGATGCCCCCTGCTGACTTACGTCCCTCTATTAGCTATCATTAGAGCTGCCCTGCTCCTGCACTGCCTCCGTTTCCCCCAAGGTATTCCTCAGTGACTTTCAAATCTTGCTTTACACGTCCTCCCTCTTCTGCTCTTGTAATACTTTCCTCATTTTTAAATGTTTCACCTGGATTATTTGTCCTTTAACATTCTTCTTTATTCTCTCAGTTGGTGCCATTGTGGCAGCTGTTTCACTCCTTAATATGATTTCTTCCCGCTCCATCCATCAGATCCCTTTACTGGATTCTTCTTTTTTTTTTTCTCTCTTCTGCAGGTATCTGAGTGGACCTGGCTTCCCAGATGTTCTTGTCCCTTTTCCAACACCTGGCTTAAACTCTCCACCGCAGCTGTTCAGCTTCTGAGTTAGCCTGAGCTACATCTGTATCAGCTGGGCTGTCTGGTAAAGTATCCCCTGTTCCAAAAAGAGCCACAATCCACCACAAAACTAAACCCTCCTCCCAGCTTGCATTTAGGTTTCTCAGACGCTGTTGTCTAGCTTCTCAGAAACTTCTTCTCACCTGCTTTGCTGTACCTTGTATGATACTTCTCCCCATAGGCCAAATGCTAAGGTCAAATTCCAGTTGAACACAATGGGAGTTTGGTCTGAGGAAGGACTTTAGGATTTTGCCCTAAAGAACTCCACAGAGCTGGCCAAATAGTGCCCATCACTAATTTTCCATCCTTAACCTTTAGATTCAATCTCATCATGAATGAAGCATAATACAAAGGAAAACATAGGCCTGGCTCTAGCAGTATTAGACTCATAGACTTTAAGGTTAGAAGGGACCATCATCTAGTCTGACCTCCTGCACATTACAGGTCACAGAACCTCACCCTCACCCCATTCCTGTAACAGGCCCATAACCTCTGCTCTGGTGTTGGTGCCTTGGGCCCAAACATGTTCTCTTCTCTACACGCACAGGCCTTGAGCCAGTCCTGAAGAGCCCGCGCACCAGGTCCACCACCCCAGAATGTGGCAAAGAGGCATGCAGAATGAAGAGGAGAAACTGCCACTCCTTGCCTCCATTCTGGAGTAAGATGCAGAGGAGAACATTTGACTCACAGCTGGCCCAGGGGATACTCCCAATCATGGAGCACCAGGAAGATCTTATGGAATGCCATGATGTCTCACCATTTCCAACAAAATATGGCACTCTAGCAGTTCACATAGTAGTATCAAAAAAATCCCTGAATGATAATAGTCATGCAGTGGCCCATTCTTCTTTCAACACATAGTGCAGTCCAATTAAACTAATCAAAAGGCCTCATTCTCTTTTTAGACTAGGAGAATTCTCTGTATTGTTTCCAAAGAGATCTCCCTTGACTCGCTGTTAGCATGGATTTTCTGCATGCAAGTTTTACCATTGCTTGAGATAAAGAATTATCCTTACAGTTTCTGTTCTTTCCCTTTTTTTGTTTCATTTTTAGAGGATGCAACTGTTCTGATGGTCTTTTTCATAGAAGAGTAAAGCAGAAGCTGATGAGATGTGTATCTAAAAGAAACACAATGTGAATTATGTCATCAAAGAATGGGAAGGGGGCCGGAAATTGCTTTCAGTAAGATCTTGTGTCAGTAAAGTAGTGATATGGAAATGCTGGGTCTTACTCTATTAAAAACAAGAGCAGGAACATATTATTTTATTCAATGGAACAACATTAGCCTCATCCTAACAGGCTGAGGGTTTGATTAAAAAAAGAAGAAAAAAAAAGCAATTTGCCCTTTCGTGTTCAAACTGTGTATTCCTCAGTGAGGAAGAGCAAAAAATGCATGCATTCTCGTTAACCCCTTGGGTGCCAGACATGTAAAGCTCTGGAGAGGCAGGGCCAGTGCCATGATAATGCACAGGAAAACAGTGTATTGTACACTTGTTAAGTCACCTGAGTACGCACTTTTTCTGAATTGAAGGTACCAGAGAGGGAGGCGGTGCAGAGTACTAGATGGTGTATGGGAATGCCAGGCAGGAGACTTGTATGGTGCTCTCACTTCTGCCACTCACTGTGTTGCCTTGGACAAGTCACTTAACTTCTCCAACTAGTTTCTCCACTAGTAGACGATAACTTAGAGAACGATGCCATCTATTAGTATTATTGTTTGTTTTTTAGTTTGTCTTATATTGGTGCTCAGGAATCCCAATCAAGGCTCAAAGCCTGGAGATGAGCAGGGTTTTATGAATGAGAATCATATTATTATTAGTAGACGGTCTCTGGGATTTAAACTTCACAAACAGGAGGGCAGGGCTATATGATTGGCCCAATGAGCTTCACATGCATTGGAAGGAAAAGACAGTATCTGCAATGTGCTTTTTGAAAAACAGCACCGATTCTGCTTTGGTGCACCCAATCAGCTCTATTGAGACCTGACTGTGGGGGGGAAGCGGGGCAGGCACATAAGTAGAAGAGCAGAATGTGATGCAAAGTCATTAGGATACTCATGGCCAGCCCCCTCCCAGGCCTGCCCTCTGGCACAGGTACTGCATAGGACAGCCATATGGACAGGCACTGTGTAGTCCAAGCCCTCAAGTAAGGCCTGGTTGAGAAGGGTGTCCCCACATTATATGCAGCAACAGTGATTCCAAGATGCTGCCCAGTAGCCCATAGGCAGCCCAGGAAGGAAGAGTGCTATACATTAAAGTAGCTCTTGACTGCTCTGCTTTACTTCAGGAGATTCACTAGCCCAGACTCAGCCAGGTGTTTGGAGCCTCCTTTAACCTCCCTCCATTTCCAGGAGACAGAGCACAACTGGGCCATAACTCTTTAAGGGATTTTGAACTGGGCCAAATTAGGCATGTCAAAAAATTGTTAGGCACAGTTGTGTTCTCACCGTTACAAGCAAATCATCCAATATAGCCACCAAGAGGGAACAGCCTGGAGCTTGAGTTAGACACCTGCAACTGACTGTATCACCTAGGAGAGTGTGCTGAGCTGGGAAAACAGGGGACAGCTGGGGAAAAAACTAAACCTTTGAGCAAAGCCTAGGGAAGCAAGCACTGCACTGGAGATGTGTAGTGGCTCTCCCTCCTCGTGGGGTTTTAGCCATTAAATCAGCATAGTCATAGACCCATTGCCCATTCTCCCTTATCTTTCCACTCCATCCTCTGTGCTATCATAGAAAGAAACACTGTGGAACAGTGACCTAGCCATAAGGGTCATAGAATCATGGACTTTAAGGTCAGAAGGGACCATTATGATCGTCTAGTCTGATCCCCTGCACAACACAGGCCACAGAATCTCACCCACCCACTCCTGTAACAAACCTCTAACCTATGTCTGAGCTATTGAAGTCCTCAAATCGTGGTTTAAAGACTTTGAGGTGCAGAGAATCTTCCAGCAAGTGACCCGTGCCCCACGCAGCAGAGGAAGGCGAAAAACCCCCAAGGCCTCTGCCAATCTGCCTTGGAGGAAAATTCCAACCCCAAATATGGCGATCAGCTAAACCCTGAGCATGTGGGCAAGACTCACCAGCCAGACACCCAGGAAAGAATTCTCTGTAGTAACTCAGATCCCACCCCATCTAACATCCCATCACAGACCATTGGGCATATCTACCACTAATAGTTGAAGATTAATTAATGGCCAAAATTAGGCTATTCCATCATATCATCCCTTCCATAAATTTATCAAGCTTAATCTTAAAGCCAGATATGTCTTTTCCCCCACTGCTTCCCTTGGAAGGTCCTGTCTATACTAGAAATAGTTATCATGCTAAGAGCCGTGTCATCCTCACACGTCACGTCTGCACACAAGAATGCACCAAATGGTTTCCAGGCAGGATTAGACTTGCTATCAGTAGGGCAAAATACCCTTTCAGCATCCATCCGTTTAGTGCCAGGGCAGGGAACACTAAAACAGCACAGATTGAAACGGTTCTGATAATTGTCCCACCCCTGTCCCACAGTGCACCAGCAGCCTTTCACAGTCTCCCAAGATGTGCCTAGGAACTGTGAGAGAGGACCTCAGAGGGCATTGCAATTGGAACAGTTTAGAACAGCAGTAGTTTAGATGCAGGGCAGAGTAGCAGTGGACGGCATGGGCACACCAAACTGGCTGTGCTTAAACCAGTGGAATTTCAGTGCACCAGTGAAGATGCAGCCTACATGGCCTGACTCCTTCACAGTAGAACTTAGGAGAGTCCCCTGTGTTGGGGCCCTTTTTTGCATCCCCTGTGATGTGGATGGGAAAGGATCTAGCCATAAGAAGACTCCTGCATAAATTTATGGACTGCACCCACAATCAGGGTGGAATGGGTGATGGGGAGAAGATTCAGTCAAGCAAGCAATCAGTTTGGAGGAACCATCTTACTGCAGGTGTTTTAAAATAAAAGCAAAACCATTTGTGATACTATTGGATTCACCCACAGGTGATAAGAGAAATAACACGTACATTCCTAAAGTACATCGCCTTCTGCTAAAGCAGGAAACCTCACACCGTGGTAAGCTGATACATCTTTAACGCAGTTCTGAAATGCCTAAGACTATCTATATATAATGTCAGTGGTCACTGAAATACTGCGTATGTGTGTGTGTGTGTTTGTAAAGTGCTCTTGGATGACAAATGTTATATTAATATTACATTTATATAAGTACCTGATGCACATTATAAACTGCACATTTATGACTCAGTTCAGCCATAGCTACCTTTGGACTGAGGCACAGCAGATAATTAAAGGGGCACTGTCAACTTGAAATCTAGTCAATGTATAGAAAAGATCCAGATCTGCATCTGCCTCAGAGTCCCTCTGACAATTTTGGAGAATCAATCTCTCCTAATTCATTGAAATCGGTCTCTGTCTCTCTCTCTCTCTGTGTCCTGTTACTGATTGAAAGACCTACATGAACAATGAGGGGAAATGACTATGCCAGTGCATCTGCATAGGTGGCCCCTTGTGCCTTGTTGACGTCGGTGGGGCTCTGTCCATGTAGATGCAGCAGGAAGATAACCTAACTGACTATACACAAAGTGCCGCCTTATGCACAAAGTAACCAGATTGGGGAAAAAACAGAGCGAAATGTTTTTGTCACTATTCTTGTTCAGATACAGTCCTCTTGGTCTGCGTCTGGCCTACACGCTTTACTTAAAAGCCTCCCTTTGCTACCACTGGTGCAGCATCCGTGAAGGGAGTGCCAGTATAGACCCACCACACGCATTTTAAGCACCATGCCATGTGGTCCTGGTTTAGAGCAGGTCTAGACAACATGGTGCTGAAAATGCTTGTGGCTCACAGCCCCTGGTCTATACTAACACTCCCATAGTTGGCACTAACCAGTGGAGCTGTACTGGTCTAGAAGTCTAGTGGACGCAAGGTCTTAGGTATCACTTGTAGCAATAGTAGGTAGAACAATGGCAGACTGAGATGTGATTTTTTAATAGACAGTATCCCTTTAAGAGTACACAGCATCCATACAGAGCACCTTAGGCCCAAAAATATGAGATCATGCAGACTAGACATTGGATGAAACCCTAGGTTTCTTAAAAGTACCTTGGAAACTTTAATAAACAAAGTTAGCCAGGAAATATGACCTGATGCAGACCTTCTCAAGTCAATGGCAAAACTCCCTTTGACTCCTTTTGGAGAAGGATTGGGCCCATAGGGTTTTATGTCTCATCTAAAAGAGACATGTTCCTGAAGAGACAAGTATATCCACACAGAAGTCTTCTGAGAGAAACATTTTATCATATGGAATGGCTCTGGAATTCAGCCTTCAATGAGAACTGTGCTTAGATCACAGATGGGATAGTCAGAACTATACTAAATCACAGATGGTATTTTTTCCCCACAATTCACAAAATGGGCTATTTCCACCACTTCATTTTTCCCCTTCCTGATTTTTATATTTTATACATAGTAATTGTGTGGGTAAAGGGAGGGAACCCAACAACCCTTTAAAATGGTACTTATAATCTTTTAATGGTGCTTATAATTTTTGCTGTGTAGTAAATACATCACTGAAAATGTAATTCTTTTGAGAAATTAATGTGTAGTTAATTTTAATCTGAGCAATTTGTTTTATGTACTTGACACACTTATCTTTTCTATTGTTTCTGTTTTCTCTGACAAGCTATAAAATTCCTTGTTATCAATTGATTTGTTGCATCAGGTCTGGGAGTACTTTCTTGACTCAAATTCGGCAGCTTCTGCTCATCCCCACTGGTGGTCACATTATTGGTTGTTTCGCTTTGTTTACAGCTGCTAAGTCACATTAAACAAAGCCAAAAATACATTAACTACTTTCCTAAAATTGCTTTTCCCCGCATAAGCCATTGCTGTAGCTGGCACAGGGCTGTTATTCTATTGCCAATGGGATAGATAGAAGATAGTGTATTCAACCATGAACAGGAGAGAAGGTGCCCATCAGAGAATCTCTCTGTTCAGATGTGGTTCATTCTATGAAAAAAGTTTGAGAGCCCCATGCCCATTTATAATTTCATGACTGGAAATGCATTCCCTCAGCTAAGCCTCGCCCAGTAGTCTCATTGCTGACAGCAGGCCCATATCAACTTCAAACAGTGATCTGGGATTCCTTTCAGTGTCAGTGATGCAGCTTCCATCTCCTTTGGTATCATCAGGTTTTCAACTATTGTCAGCATTTGGGGGGGTTTCCTCAGTTTTTTTATATTATGGAATATTGAGCTTAGTTTAGGGGTCATTTATACCGAACTTCAAGCTTACTGCTATACAGAGCAGCCCAGAAGTTCAAGTTTAAAATCAATGTGGCAAATCAAAGTGCCTGATCAGACACTCCATTCATGTAATGGGAATCTTTCCACTAACTTCAGTGGGTTTTGGGTCGGGCTTTTAAGAACACTGTTTCTAGTTTACATAAAATCACAGATGAAAAACCCTTCACCGTAGATAAAAGCTTGCTATTCTGACAATACTGAATCACATTAATGCTGAATTCAGGTGTACAGATGTTACATTTTAACACTCATAGTTCCACTGTTCAGTGCTCATTTATTTTATTCTCAGACCCTTTGGAAAATGTGCACCGTGATCTTCCAGCTATGCTAACTTGTACCCGTGTAGGGCAATGTATATCTTCAAGTCTTGTTGTCAGTGCTCTTAAGTCTGAGATCTGATCACACTTATTAGCACATTCTAATTGTGAGAAAACCATACCCTTGCAATTAGTTTGTGCCAGCCTGGATTATACACAACTGCTTTTCTTAGGGTGGAATTCACATGTTGTGTGCAGGGCTAGCTCAAGGCCCTACACATTACTTAAGCCCCACATAAGGTGTTGTACTCGGGGTCATCTGGCATATGCAACCCATACACACTACGTAATAGTCCAGTGCAGACGGCTGAAATAGGGGCGGGGCAGGCTGGGAAGGAGTCGCACAACCACATCTATGCAGATCCAGTATCACTGGTATCTTGTGCAACTGGTGAGCAGGTACAATGGCTGCTACTCTGGAATAGTAGTGAAGGGAAGCTGCCCAGCAGCACTGCACTCTGGCCTTGGAATTTCACCTCACAATCCCTCCGCATTGCACTCCCATAGAGCCCAGCTACTCAGGCTTTACGGGGGTGGATATAAACCTACGTGTTTTAGACGAAGTGAGTTTGCAGTCATGCCACCAATGATTTAATGCATAGCCGATGCAAAGCAAAAAGATGGCAGAGCTGTGAGATCTAACAGCTGTGCAAACAGGCTCAAGGATTTAAAATTCTGGAAGCTATATCTTCAGGAAAGCATTTTTAAAAAATCCCAATACCACATCTGTTGGTATCAAATTGTCATTATGACATGATATTTAAGATGATTTAATGGGTTTATTGCAGAGTAAGAATCTTGGAGTTTGATTAAACGATGGTGCATTAAAGGGATTTAACCCTTTAAATGATATTCTGACAAAGCGGAGCCAAAACAGTTCATTATATAGCAGGAACACATACATATGTACATGTGTGAATGTGTGTACATATATATACATGAGTGCACACACAAATGAGTGATATAGTAGATTCACATGTGTGTGCATTAGTTACCCTTTGAAAAATTGATTCCACCCTCTCCTGCACAATATATCTTCATTTAGAGGACACGGCTTTTTTCTAATTTAATTACTTCCCACCTAAGGCTTTGAATTAATGGGTGGCTGCAAAACAAGGAATACTTCTATTAGAAACAGCCTGGTGAAGGTGCATGGGAAAGGTCTGACTCAGTTACTAATTGGGGGTGACTTCTAAGCAAAGGTACACGGTAGGGAAAGGGTGATCCTTTGTGCAATGAATTTCCATGTGGCAGAGTGTTTCTTTCACCTTCAGTTCCCTGTGTAGTTCTTGGTTTCCTCTAGACGTTCAGGCTTCTCATTGCAAATCTCCTTGGGCTTATTGACTGACTAGTCTGAGATTCAAAGAACCCTTCTCCTTAAGCCTCTCTGCATGTTCTGGTTCTACAGGATGCGGCTGATAATACAATGGGTTTCTGCCAATAAGTCACAGTCTAAACTTCTTTTTGCACTTCTCCCTTTAGGACCATAATATTATAACCTGATGTGTCATGTGTTAATGTAAAGCACTAGCAAAGTGTGTCTTTGGCTAATCCACAGAGCTAGCTACCTGATATGCTCAAATCTTAGTCCTATCACTCTGCAGTGCTTTGTAGCTGTGCTCTATAGCTGGAAGTTCAGGGATCTGTCTCTGCTGATGTCTAAACTTCATGATTGTTACACAAAACAATGAGGTATGTTTAAGCTTTGAGATGGCTATTTACTGAAATTCTGTGCTAGTCATTAAAATCCATTACCTTTATTTGGCTATATCTATAACAAAGCAGTTTTATTATTTGCTTTTTCCCTGTAAAACTCTGTTTCCTACAAAGGGGGAGGAGGGGATGGGAATCAATTACTTCTGAAATTAAGTAAAGTTTGTTTCAAAATTAGAAGGGATTTCAGCAACCAAGTTTTTTTTTTTTTTTTTTTTTTTAAGGCTCGGGTAATAAAGAATAATTGGAAGAGAAAAAAAAATCACCTCAGGTTGTATATTGCCACTTCCTCCTGCATTGCAGTTAATGCAAACCTTTGATTAGCCTTCTGAAAAGACCACACATTGAATAATTTGAAGCAAAAGGTTAATGGTGTTATTACAACTATTACCCCTTTTAAAATCATTATCCTCTTGTTTTTTATGTCTGTATTACCTTCACCTTTCCATGAACCCACTTTACCAGCTGTTTCCCTCTGTCATAAAGTTTGCTGAACATCATCCTAGGAATAGGATAAATGCCATGTTTTATCAATCAAGCCTAAGGGAATTCTCAGATTCTCATAACCCAAACTGTAAAGGGAGATTATTACAAAGTTTCTATTTTGATTTTTAAATTGTCTATAAGTGAAATATGTACCTAATGTCAAGGTGTAAAACGATACAATAACGGCTGCTTTTGCTCAGAAAGTCTTACAGATTGGCAATGTGTGAAACTTAAAGGCTGTACAAAAATCAAATTCAATTCTTTTTTAAAATTATGTATAGAATGGGAGAGGAGGGGAAATTCCAGGCAATTAATCCCAAGCAAACAGTGGGAAAATACACAAAGTTTCGACAAAAAAGGGTACTAGGTGGAGATATTAATGGGTCAAACTATCAAAAGCACTAACATGATTTAAGAGTCTTAAGTCTCATTTTCAAAAGTGATTTTAGGGATAATCTTCAAAAAAACTAAGTGACGTTGGATGGAGCCAAAGTCCCATTGACTTTCAGTGAGACTTAGAGTCATAAGTGCCTAAAGCCCAGATCCTCAAATATATTTAGGCACTTAATTCCTATTGAAATAAGTGAGAGTTAGGCACCTAAATCCTTTGAGGATGTAGACCTAAGTCACTTCTGAAAATGTGTGTGAGGCTCCTAAGTCACTTAGGCCCTTCTAAAATCATTACCTATTATATCGAGACACTAAGGGCCAGATTTTCTGCATCTGAAGAAGTGTTTTTTTACCCATGAAAGCTTATGCCCAAATAAATCGGTTAGTCTTTAAGGTGCCACCGGACTCCTTGTTGTTTCTGCAGATTTTCAAAGGAACTCAACTCCTACTTGGGCACCGAAATGAAGTTGCTTGTGAGAATAATGGGAGATGCTGCAGGTGAGTACTTTTGCAAATCTGGCTACTTCATGTAAGTGCATAAATGGGAGCTGAGCTCCTGAAAAATCTAGCCATAAAAGCCCAGTCCTACCCACAACCTTCCTGTACCTGCACCGGTCCTGGATGCTGCAAAACTGATACAACTCTTTTGTGTAGGGAGCTGGAGAGAAGGGAGAGGGCGGTGCAGGATTCCAATGACAAACTGGAGTCTCTTTATTAAGATTTCCTTTATAGATTCATAGATTATAAAGCCAGAAGGGACCACTGTGATCATCTAGCAAAACCCCCCTGCATAAAGCAGGATTTCCCTGACTTAATTCCTGTTTGAACTAGACTATATCATCTAAGAGAACACCCAGTCTTGACTTAAAAATTGCCAGTAAGGGAGAATTCCCCGCAGCCCTTTGGTAAATAGTTCCAATGGTTAATTACACTCACTGTTCAAAATTTTACTCCAGGGAGGTAAAAAACTAAGCTCAGTGACAACTCTTGGCCTTTGAACAGCTGTTCGATGGGGAAGGGCGGGGCAGTGGTTCTTGGCGGTGTTCAGCAGTATCACTGCTGGTTTCCTCAAGCTGGAAAACGTAGACATATCACTGTGAACCCACTGATCCTAGGTCTCTGTCTGAATGTGGATGAGTCAGCACGAATCCCAAGCCTGAAAAATTCCCTCTTTTCTTGCAAATACAGCAAAGAGCCTTGGATGTTTTCCCAGTGACACTGAGCATTACAGCAGCAGTAGAAGTGGCATAACTGGGTATAACTGCAATAGTGGAGGTATTAATTCAGATTTGGCTATCGTTACAGCACCTATGGGCCCAAATTAGCAGCTGTGGTCACTTCTGTGATCACCCCTTCTTCAGTCTGTAACGGTCTAGTTGCTGAGCTTTATTCTGTGGTAGACTTCATTTAATTTGACCACTGTAATTCAACCAAGCATAGCCGATAAAAAGCCCAGAGGTCCTAATGCTCA